GGACTTCCTTTGGGTGTTTGGGTGGGCGGGCCGGCCTGGTTTCCATGGTGGCCACAAATGCAGCTGCATACAATTTGAGTGCCATGAGTCTATTCCTTCATGCTGTGTGGATTCTACAGTGAAATTCTACTCTTCCTTCCCTGGGGATGTAGTTTTTTGCCTCTCACTTTTCTATTGTCATTCCCTACCCTTCACCTAGGATGCAGATGCCCCCTATCAAGGATTCCTGGAAAGGAGATCCACAGTGTCAGCATCTCTCCCGTTCCGGGCGTCACCGTGGCTCCACTTCTGCTTGGGCCTTGACTTGAGGCCTTTGGTCCCCCCAGCCCTTCACTCAGCACGATTAGTGGAGGACTGGGGTAGCTTCCAAGACTCTCCAGCCGGCCTCCATCTCCCTCTTCCTGGCTCCTCCCACAACTCACAGGGAGAGATTCATCTTGACTTGGGTCCTTTCAGGACACCAGAGTGTGTAGCTTTCTTTGATTTCTCTTTTCTTAGTCAATTTTCCTGTGTCTAATTAAGCACTTGCTTCCTCTTGTGATTTTTTTAATGTCTTTCCTCTCCTCATACTGATAGAATGTAACATGGTAGCTGTGTGGCTACCAATAAACATTTATTTGTAGAAAGAACAGCTCAAAAATGTTTATTTAACAGAAGAAATGCAAAGCGTTCCTTGCATTTGTTCCCTACCAAATAAAGGGGAGAAATGTACGATAAAATTTCTTTATTTCTTCGTATCTTGGGTGACTAGTGCCTAAGGACCATGCACTGTGGAGGAAGTGCAAGGCGTGTGGACAGGGGTTACCTTCTTCATGTTGACATAAAATACTATAGTTAATTACATTTTTTAAGTTATGCATTTTAGAGGTTTAAATACCCTCTTGATGAATGGGTTTGTTGCAGTGAAAACCCAGGAGAGGCCAGGAATGATTTAAAATGAAAATATTCTCTGTGACTAACAGAGGTCCTCACATCAGCCTGGAAAAATCTCCTGAACTCTGAAGCAAGACCAACCATTTTCAGCCCAGATTCATCATTCTTCTAAAGATGCTCGGCTACAGCAAAGCACACGCTGACATCGGAGGGCACAGAGGATGCGTAGGTTAACACGCGTTTGTGCCAAACCACACCAGGGGCCCCATACCACCCCCCCCGCTGGCCTCCTCCACCCGGCCCCCAGGACGCTCCGTCTCAAGTGGCTGCCGGGCTCTGTTGAGTTATCCCCGCCCAAGCCCTGCTCCGTCATTACTTCAAAGGGTTTAATGAACAGACCTATAACGTCCAGAAAGAAGCCCTACAGACTGGAAAACGACAGAAAATGAAAAGTATGTATACTACATATCTCCCATTTATATTTAATTTTCCGTATTTTATACAGAAAGGATATTATTCTGTGGTTCTATCTATAGCCCCAAAGGTAGGGTTTTGGTGAAGATTACAAATGATTGTGTGTGTGTGAGTGTGTGTGTAAGACTGAGCCCTCCAGAGCCACAGCAGTCAGAGGATGATTCGTGTGTGTGAGTGAGAGTGTGAGAATCTGTGTGTGTATGTATGTGAGTGTGTGTGTGTGAGTGTGTTTGTAAGACTGAGCCACAGCAATCAGGGGATGATTCGTGCGTGAGAGTGTGAGTGTGTGAGTGTGAGCATCTGTGAGTGTGTGTATGTGTGTGAGTGTGTGTGAGTGTGTGAGTGTGTTTGTAAGACTGAGCCCTCCGGAGCCACAGCAGTTAGGGGATGATTTGTGTGTGTGAGAGAGTATGTGTGTGTGAGTGTGTGAATGTGTGTGTATGTGAGTGTGTGTGTGAATGTGTGTTTAAGACTGAGCCCTTCGGAGCCACAGCAATTGGGGATGGTTGGTGTGAGTGTGTGTGAGTGTGTGAGTATGTGTGTGTGTGTGTGTAAGACAGCCCTCTGGAGCCACAGCAATAGGGGATGGTTGGTGTGAATGTGTGTATGCGTGTGAGTGTGTATGTGTATGAGTGTGTGTGTGTGTAAGACAGCCCTCTGGAGCCACAGCAATAGGGGATGGTTGGTGTGAGTGTGTGTGAGTGTGTGTATGTGTGTGAGTGTGTGTGTGAGTGTGTGTGTGTGTGTAAGACAGCCCTCTGGAGCCACAGCAATAGGGGATGGTTGGTGTGTGTGTGAGTATGTGTGTGAGTGTGTATGTGTGAGTGTGTGTGTGTGAGTATGTGTGTGTGTGTGTGTGTGTGTAAGACAGCCCTCTGGAGCCACAGCAATAGGAGAT